TTAAATATATCTATATTATTATATTATTTTATATTATAGTTTATATTATAGTTTATATTATTTGTTATTACTTATAATTGATATTACTTAGTAACTTAAAAATATTTATTTATATTAATAATTTAATAAGATATATTTGTAATAATACATGAACGAAAGTGAAAGGGATACCTAAGCTTATGGTATGCAGTAATTTCACTATATATGATTTTAAGATGTCCTAGAAAATCACTAAGAATATATTCAATGTAACAGAAATATATGCACATAAATAATTAAACTGCATTTTTATATGAAGAAATCGCTTCCGTTCTCAATTCAAGTATTTTTTTTTCTGTTACTGCTTTGAATGAGAATTGCGCATTGGAATGATTGTATAAAAATTTTAATTTCATTATATAAAAGATTTTTGTTATATAAATATATGATAAATTGATTAATTTTTCAGGAAAATCCACTTAAAATAATTAAAGAAAAATATCCTGAAAAAATAGAAAAAATTAAATTAATACAGGGTGACACTACTGACGAACATCTTGCTTTATCGACTGCCGATAAACAGAAATTATTAAAAGAAGTTTCCATAGTTTTTCATATGGCGGCAAATGTTAAATTCGATTTGACATTAAAACAGGCAATAACAATAAATACTCTGGGTACTAAGAATGTTATAAATCTTGCAAAAGAGGTACATATTTATTAATTTTATGAAATTAAGAATATATCAAATTACTTAAATTACTTAAATTAAGAATATTTATTTTAATTATTTCTGATTTTTTCTAAGTAAAATAATTACCATTTTTTTTTAAAACATTTTTTTCGATGTTTTGACATTATGTTTTGATTTTTAACATAGATGGAGCATTTAAAATCCTTCATTCATGTTTCTACTTCGTACTGTCACTGTAATGAATCTGTACTTGAAGAAAGAAATTATCCTGCTCCTATAGAACTTGAAAAAATTGTAAAAATGGTAAATGATACGACAGATGATTTTCAAAAAATCATGACACCAAAAATATTACAAGGATTACCAAACACTTATGCCTTTAGTAAAGCACTTGCTGAAGATTTGGTGCAGAAGAGTGGTCTACCTGCAGGTGTTGCAAGACCTTCTATAGGTATTTTAAATAAGAATACATAAATTTTCTTTATGTATTAATATATATTGCATCTTTATTTCAAAAGATTCGAAAATATTAACTAATTAAATATTTTTTTAAAGATGATTTTTATTATTTCTAGATTTTTAAACTATATATTTTTTATAATAAAAGTGCAATATGATTTTAAAATTTATGAATATTTAATATAATTTGTTATAAATTATTAATTAATTTAAATTTTAGTGGTCGCATCATGGAAAGAACCAATGCCTGGTTGGATTGACAGCATGAATGGACCAACAGGTTTAATGGTAGGTGCTGGAAAAGGAGTAATACGAACTGTTCTCTGTAATTACAATTATTTATTGAATCTAATTCCCTGTGACATGGCGATTAATGCGATGATTGGATTGGCATGGAAAGTAGGAAGAGAAAAACCTGAAAAACCAATATTTATGAACATTACTTCTGGACTTGAAAATCCGATTTCTTGGGGTTATGCTGTAGAAACTGGAAAGAAATATACCATAATGTATCCATTCACAGGTTAATAAAAAAATTATAATATATATTTCTATAATATAATTAATGAAACGAATTAATTTTCTATATTAATGAAATAAATAAAATAATAATATTTATAAAGCAAGTTAATAATAATTCTATGTATAAAATATAATTAATGTTTTAATCTATGTATTTAATCAAAATTAATCTATAAATTTTATTTTAAGGTTTATTATGGTATCCAGGTGGAAGTATTACGACATTAAAATTTTACCATTGGATACGCGTGATCTTATTCCATTATATACCTGCAATTTTCATAGATATTATTATTTTTCTAACTGGAAATAAACCATTTTTAATAAGAGTGCATCAAAAAGTTAATAATGGTATAGGATTGATACAATATTATACTACTAAAGAATGGGAATTTCGGTAATTATGCAGAAATATTTTTTTAAAATTTTTAATAAGTTACCTAAGTTGTAAATCTTCGGATCTTTCAGTGTATTGAAAATTTTAATTTCTGATTAAATTATTATATAAAAAAATTTTAATTAATGATAAATTATGATACATTATATTAAAACTAAAATTTTATTCTAATTTAATTTCGATTTTCAGAAATGACCGCATGAAAAAATTGCAACTTGAATTAAATTCATCTGATAGAGAAAAATTCTTTATGGATACAAAAGCTATATCTTGGGATAGTTACATGTTGAAATATATATTAGGCGTTAGACAATATTGTTTAAAAGATGATCTTTCTACCATACCTCGTGCACGAAAAGTTATTAGATATTTGTATTTTGCTGATTGGTTTGTTAAGATCGGATTTACAATCTTCTTTATATGGTTTCTATTCTTGAATAAATTCATCTAAACAGATTACGATCATATTTGAACTTAACAAATTATAGATATATTGATTATAAATATATTATAATAATTGATTTTATCTGAAAATGACAATATATTTCTTTATTTTTATTTTATTTTATTCTCAAATGCTATAAAAATTATGTTTTATATTATATTCACAATTATTATTAATTAATTATTTTATTTTATTGTATACAATGAGATAATGATTCTTTAATAAGATATAATTCAATATAATATTGTTTATTGCTTTGTCATAAAACATGCATTTGCAATTATGATATTTTTAAGATACTTATTATAATAATAAATATATTTATTTCTTAAAAGACGTAAAAAGACTGTTTTAATAATTAAATTTTAAAATATATATTTAAAAATTTAACTTAAGTGCTTGAATAAAATAAATAAAGATTTTATTTAATTTGTAAAGAATGTGCCAGTAAATAAAATATAATAAAGAAATAATATCAACCATTATATTATATTTGATATCATTATCAATAACATAATACAAAATTATTTTCGAAGATTAATTCTTCCTTTTTAATTAAAATCTTATAGTATATTTCCTATTAGAGAAAAATTTTGGATTAATACAATTTAAATCAGTATAAAAAAGTTTCTATAATATGATTATTTAAATTTTCAAATTCTTGACCGCGATTACATATCTGATCAAGTCATGACATTTTGAAATTTCGAAATTCTTGCTCTCACGCGACATGTCTGCTCGTACAATCTCTCAGGTGAAATATTCTTTTCTCGTCATTTCTTAGTCATGCAAATATTTGAAGTAATATTTGAAATAGAAAAGTTTTCGCTATTTGTCACGAGATATCTACTATATATGACTAATAATAATCTACAGTACAATATTATGTTAATCTAAAAAACAAGCATTTTTACAAATATTAAGTAAAATTATATTTGGATTTAATTTTCACACTATTCTTACATTCTGAAAGTTTTCATTCTGAAAGATCAAAAAGTTTTTTCAAATTTATTTTTCAAAGAACGAATATTTTTTTAAATAAAATGAATTATAAGATTATAAAAATGATTTTAGATTATAAAAATGTTTGGAAATATTAATATTAGACCAAAGTTATTGTTTTATAATTTATAGATCAACATTATTAACATTTTAAATATTAATAAATAAAATAAATTTTAATATATCTATTTTTCATATATTTTTTTGCGCGTTATATAAAGAATAAAATTATTCAACGACTATACAGGATTATATAAGAATGATTTATATATATATAAATTACAAAAGAATTGCCAACAAAAGTTTGTAATCACATATAAAATATAAAAAAAAATATTGATTAATTGAACACTTGTACTATGCATCTTTAGTCAACGAACGATTTATATGAAAATGTAATAAAAAATCATGAATCTGGTAGTACCCAAAGAGTGTCGAAATCTTATGCTCGTCTTGCTCATCCGTTTTCGTTCTCACTCGTGTACATGTTCTCTTTTTTTCCCCAGTACTTACATTTTCACTCTCACTTTTTCATTTCAACTCT